GTGTTCGCTCGACGTTGCCTTCACGGTCGCAACCGTCCGCAACCGTCCGCAACCGTCCGCAACCGTTCGTGTGAGGACCGTATGGCCGTGCCTATGGGAAGTTCTGCAGGAGGGATCATTTTTGGAGGTTTCAGACGTCTGGTTGCTTCGTTTCGCGTGGCAGGCGTGGCACTTCGTGACATTCAGCAACGTTCTGTAACGTGTCGAAAGTCGTTTTGTGTGGCAGGTGCAATACTTTTGCGACGTTTTGCGAAGATGCGTGGCAGATTTCGTGCCAGGCGCAGCACTTTCGACGTGTCCATCCTCATTTTTCGTGGCAGGCGCAGCACTTTAGACGTGTCGTGTTGCGTGTTTTTTGTAAATCGCATTGGCAGGGCTGCGTCAAGTGGCGACAAGGTGCAAATTCCGTGGCAGTCGTGGCATTTTGTGCGATGTGCTGAAAATTGACGGAAGCCTCGCACGAAACATCGATTTTGAGGTTGCAAATTTTCATGTTCTAAGGAAAACTCGTAGGAAAACGTCGATTTTGAAGCTACAAAGTGTGAAAATTGGAGGAAGTCTCGCACGAAATGCTCGTTTTGGTGCTTCCACCTGTCTCGTCTCGCGTCATTGGTTTTATGGTGGCTTCGCCGTGTCTATGGGGGAAGCTGCAAAACATGTCTCTTCGGCATGTTTCAAAGTGTGAAAATTGGAGGACGTCTCGCACGAAATGCTCGTTTTGGTGCTTCCACGTGTCTCGTCTCGAGTCTCTGGTTTTCCTGTGGTTTCGCCGTGTCTATGTGGGAAGCCGCAAAACCTCTCTCCTTTTCGAAGGTTTCCACGCAGGTTGTCATGTCGTTTTGCGTTGCAGGCGTGGCACTTTGTGACATTCCAACCTGTTTAATAACATGTCGAACATGTAAAAATTGGAGGAAGTCTCGTACAAAATGCTGATTTTTCTGTATCCACATATCTTGTCTCGAGTCTCTGGTTTTCCTGTGTCGTCGCCGTGTCTATGGGGCAAGCTGCAAAACATCTCTTTTTGAAGGTTTCCAAGCAGGTTGTCGTGTCGTTTTGCGTGGCAGGCGTGGCACTTCGTGACATTCCAACCTGTTTGCTAACGTGTCGAAAATGTCAAAATTGGAGGAAGTCTCGCCCGAAATGCTCGTTTTTCCTGCACCCACGTGTCTCGTCTCGAGTCTCTGGTTTTCCTGTGGCGTCGCCGTGTCTATGGGGGAAGCTCCGCACTCCACACTCTACATTTTACACTCCACACTCCACAATTTACAATATAGACTCCACACTTTACACTTTGCACTTTACACTCCTGACTCCTCACTCGAGACTTTACACTCCACACTCCACACTTTACACTCCACACTCCTCACTCTACACTTTGCACTCTACACTTTACACTCTACACTTTACACTCTACACTTTACACTCTACACTCCACACTTGACATTTTACACTCCAGACTTTACACTTTACACTCCTCACTCCACACTTTACACTCCACACTTTACACTCCACACTCCACACTTTACACTCCACACTTTACACTCCACACTCCACACTTTACACTCCACACTCCTCACTCTACACTTTACACTCTACACTTTACACTCTACACTTTACACTTGACATTTTACACTCCAGACTTTACACTTTACACTCCTCACTCCACACTTTACACTCCACACTCCTCACTTTACACTCCTCCACACTCCACACTTCTCACTTTACACTCCGCACTCCACACTCAACACTTTCCACTCCACACTCCACACTCCACACTTTACACTCCGCATTCCCCACCCCACAATTTACACATTATACTCCTGACTCCTGACTCCACACTCCACACTCTACACTCCACACTCCACACTTTACACTCCACACTCCACACTCTACACTTTACACTCTACACTCTACACTCTACACTCCACACTTTACAGCTTAAATTCCACACTTTACACTTTACACTCCTCACTCCTCACTCCACACTCCACACTTTACACTCCACACTCCACACTCTACACTTTACACTCTACACTTTACACTCTACACTCCACACTTTACACTTTACACACTCCACACTCCACACTCCACACTTTACACTCCACACTCCACACTCCTCACTTTACACTCCACACTCCACACTTTACACTTTACACTCCGCACTCCTCACTCCTCACTTTACACTCCACACTCCACACTCTACACTTTCCACCCCACACTCCGCACTCTACACTTTACACTCCACACTCCACACTCCTCACTTTACACTCCACACTCCACACTCTACACTTTCCACCCCACACTCCACACTCTACACTTTACACTCCACACTCCGCACTTTACACTCCACACTCTACACTTTACACTTTACACTCCAAACTCTACACTTTACACTCTACGGCGCTTTACACTCTACACTCCACACCCTGCACTCTACAATTTACAAAATCCACACTCCTCACTCTACACTTTACACTCCACACTCCACACTCCTCACTTTACACTCCACACTCTACACTTTCCACTTTCCACTCCACACTCCACACTTTACACTCCACACTCCACACTCTACACTTTACACTTTCCACCCACACTCCACACTCTACACTTTACACTCCACACTTTACACTCCAAACTCTACACTTTACACTCTACGGCGCTTTACACTCTACACTCTGCACACCCTGTACACTCTACAATTTACAAAATCCACACTCATCTTTTTACACTCAACACTTCAACACTCCACACTCCTCACTTTACACTCCACACTCTACACTTTCCACTTTCCACTCCACACTCCACACTTTACACTCCACACTCCACACTCTACACTTTACACTTTCCACCCACACTCCACACTCTACACTTTACACTCCACACTTTACACTCCAAACTCTACACTTTACACTCCACACTCTACACTCCACACTGCAGACTGGTAACAGGGGAAATATGTACAAGCCTGTTCAACTAAACTATTGCAGAAAAGTGTTCTGCGTGATTGCAAATCCATGTGTTTTGACATCTGTACCATTAACATACGTGTTAGCATTCGGGTTCGTGGGCTGCATCTTTTTTCAACTTCAATTTGCAGCTTTTGAAGGAAGTCTCGCACCAAATGCGTTTTCGAGAGGTAGTGGATGCGTGAAACCGTATGTTTCGCAGGACAAAACGTGCCTCTGAAGATGGATGGGGTAAGGTCTGCCGAACGCCGGGTTCGAACGTTTCCTGCGGGTATCCGTACATGTTGCTTTCTGCGCTTGTTCCTTGCGAATTTGGAGTTGCAGATTGCATGTGAATTCCTAAGGTAGCTGTGCAATCGTGCTTGTCGAGGTCGAAGGACCCATGTCAATTCCTGGGGCATCCGTGCAATCCTGCCATGCGAAATCCTAGGGTGGCCTTTGTACAGGTTGCACGATCCGTGTGAATTGCATGTGAACTCCTAAGGTACCCGTGCCATCCTGCTTGTCGAGGTTGAAAGGTTCATGTGAATTCCGAGGGTGTCTGCGTGAGGTTGCACTACCCGTGTGAATTCAGAGGGTGCAATCCTCTTTGTCGAGATCGAAGGATCCATGTGAATTCTTGCGTGTCCGTGCAATCCTCCATGTTGAGGTTGAAGGATCCACGTGAGCTGCATGCGAATTCCTAGAGTATCCATGCAATCCTCTTTGTAGAGGTGGCAAAACCTTTGGTGAAATGGTTGCGCCAAAGTTGCCACGATGAGTTGTTTGATGATTTTTCTCGATTTTGGCACCTTGCATTTTCCTTTTGAAATTCCTTTACCAAAGCTTCGAAAGTACTTTTTTCTGCTTTGGCGCCGAAACCTGGTTTTGGAGCAGGTTTTGGGCCGGACAAGAGTTGAGATGATCTGAGAGTGCGCTGAGGAGAGCTGAGCTGAGGTGAGAAGAGCTGACAAGAGCTGAGAAGAGCTGAGGTGAGCTGAGAAGATGTATGAGATGAGCTGACATGAGCTGAGAAGAGTTGAGGAGCGAAAAAAAGCTGAGATGAGATGAGATGAGATGGAGTGAGTTGAGATGACCTGACATACCTGACATGGGAAGAGCGGTGGGGAGCTGAGAAGAACTGAGTTGAGGCGAGCTGCATAGAATGGAGAAGCTGAGAAGAGTTGAACAGAGAAGAGGTTAGATGAGCTAAGATGAGATGAGAAAAGCTCAGATGACATGAGAAGAGATGAGGGCAGTTGTGATCAACTGGGAAGGGCGGAGAAGAGGAGAGAAGACGTGAGATGAGATGAGATGAGATGAGATGAGATGAGGTGAGAAAATCTCAGAAGACACGACATGAGATGAGATGAGATGAGATGAGACGAGTTGGGATGGCACAGACTGCGGTGACAATGGGATGCAATGAACAATTTCCAAGAGAAGCTGCGATGAGATGAGATCAGGCGAAATGAAAAAAGATCCAACCTTGACAAGAGATGGCACCGGAGTGAAAAGTCAAGAGAATGTTGCTGCGAAGCACAGCTTGCCTGCACCCTATAGGCACATTCTTTCTTCCGCTCTATAGGCTATAGGCGTTTCAATTTTGAAACTTCCGCCCCCAGCTTGCCTGGGTACCACTTGCAGAACATGTAAACCCATGCAATATCAAAAAGAGTATATAACGTTTCAACCATGTCAAAACCACACTATCTGCAGTCTATTTGATGCCACATCTTTAAGCCGTACCTGATGGCCCAGGGTTGTGTGAACTCGAATGTGGAGGGTCATCCGCTTAGACAACAGACCTGGGAATACTACAAACTCCATGGGTTGTGTTGCCTCGAGCGTTCCAGACGTTGGAAGCCAAGTTCGACATCTCTGATTCGTCAAAGGTCCATGAAGCTGTTCTCGGCTCAGCTGGGCAAGCCTCCGTCCTGGGCACGACCCAGTTGTTTCGTGCCCTTTGCTGAAGAAAATGCCGGCAATTTTGCAAATCATATCACATCATGCTTGCAAAAAGGGTTTGAAACGATGGATGGCAACACCATTTTTGTTTGCCTCTCCTTTTGTTGGGAAGAGCAGCTGTTTTTGTTCTCTTTCGCGCCTCCCTACACGGTGCATTCGTTTCGGACTTTAATGTGTATTATACACTTGGCCGCGAGGGAAAAGGTGTCAGTGCTCTGCTTGCCAGGACGAACCAAATATTCTGCACTGCTGAAATCCCTTTGCAACAACAGGGCAAAAACTCATCGATTGGCAAGCGAAGAAGCAAGGGCGCACAAGTTGCCTTGGGCAACGTGCTCGCATAAACACAAGGAGAATGGCGCCTCCAAGCAGCAAAGCCTGGTCGAACCCAAAGGTTTCAGCCACGTCTACGTGCTGCTAGGGCAGCCATTTCTGTCCTCACCACTTTCATCATCATTAGATCCATTGTGTCCTCATACCTTCACTCTTCCCCGGCTTCACCAGCTTCACCGGTTCTGCAGGCTCGGGCTCCACAAGCTCCAAGGTGTCGTTAGTCTCGTTGTTCTCAGCTGGTTTGTCATGAAAGGATGCCCGGGATGTGGAACCGCGAAATGATTGTGGTCTGACCCGAAGATTTGGGTCGAAGGAATGAGATGCAATTCGCTTGTTGAACTTGAAGGTAGAGCTGTCTGCAGCAGGTGGAGACACCTGCCATTGTAAAACCCAAGATGTGTGTTCAGTCTATCGTTGGATTTGTGCTCCGTTCTGCCATGGTGCACATGCTCTTCCGAAACTTTGTGATTTAGGATTAAGTTTTTTGGGTTGTTTGTATTGTTGGTTGTTTCCCTTCCCAGACCTGTGTCTTGTCTATCATATGCCTTGCTCGCAACCCCCTTGACGCAGATTGGAGAGGACGCAGCAAACAAACACAGAACAGCTGAATCGCGCTAAACTTGTCCTTGCCACACCTTTGAAAACGAAACAGTGCATGATCATGCTAGTGTCGTTTTGGCAGGTCTGGCGAAACCACCGAATCCTAAGGCGACAGAAGCAAAACGTGCTCCGAACCCTTGGTCATCGGCCATGTGCCACCAATATAACAGCTACTAAACTGCTTCCTAGACTATTGTATCGCCGTCTATGTGGATCTAAGGGAAGCTCCAAGGGTGGAGTAACAATAGCCGTTGATCCTCCCACGGCTCCCTCCCTTGTATCTAGAAGAGGGAGAAGGGAGAAAAAAAACACTGGGAGAATCGCCACGGGCATTTGGTCTTCGCCACTGGAATTTGGTCTCGTAAAGTTGAATTTTGTTGACAAATGAAAGGAAGACTGGAGATGACCACATCTGTGCTTGTTTGGAACCCCCTCAATTTTAGTTTGCCCCCCCCACCTCTGTTGCCAATAGCGTGATGCAGGTAGTGACCTTGCCCACGTCGAAGACCGACATGGCCGCAAGATTGGCGGAGAGGGAATCCACATTCATGTCCTCCAAGGCTGCAGCCATTTCCTTGATCTTGATTGCCAGTTCTGGAGTGGTTGGTGTACGACCCAAGTTGAACATCTGCAGCTCCTTCTTCCCGCCCAAAGCACTGCGGTAGACGAGTGCGCTCGCCGTCATGAAAACCATGATGCCAACAGCAAGGCCGATGCCACCCAGCATGGCGGTCGAAATGGCATGGGCAAATGCATACATGGTGCCACCAACAGTTTGGAGGAACAAAGTGGCAGTGGTCACTAGCAATACAATGCAGAAGGAAATGATGCAGTCGGTCAAGTTCAGCAGGGGCACTTTCCATGGCCAAGACAACATCTGCATGAGCATCATCACCGTCAAAATGACGGCAATGCAAACAACCTGGATTGGCGGGTAGTCAGTGGCCAAGACCACAGGAAGGTTGATCAACGGCCCTCGAATCAATAATGGCACCCCAAACCACCATGCATCGAGACGAAACCTGAAGATCAAGAAACGCACCGAAGCCACCAAATGATTTTTCTTTGTGGTGCTCCACGCGGGGACACGCATGACTGCAAAGATGCATAGCGCCACGAAACCCAGCACAAACACGCTCAGCAAAGTCCAGCCAATGACCAACATGGCGCCATGATCAGCGGAGCCACAAAAGACACCAGGGTACTTCAGAAGGCTTTTCTGGCCGTTGGGATGTTGATAGCACATCATTGGGGCCAGGGATGTAGCGCTCATGGTGCTGAAGCCGACCTGCAAAAAGGCCCCCATGGTAGAGCAGACTTTTGGCCATTCCCAACGGTGCTTTTTTGGCAAGAGACGGGACACAGCACAGGCCAGACCCAGCCAAAGCACACCTGTCGGGAAAATCAGAGCACTCAAGAGGTAGCGAATGGGTTCGGAATTCCCGGCCAGGCAGCTGAAGCCATAGCTGTCGATGTCAAGCAACAGGAGCTGACAAATACCGAAGAAGCCTTGAAGGTTCGCAGGCCACTGGACCGTCATCATGCCTATGAGCCCCAGGTTCTGCATTGACATCACCAGCATGCCAAAGGACGCAGTGGTGGCAAAGAGCACGGTGGCTTTGGCCGTGACCTGCCCAGATTTGTCCCACACATTGAACCTCCAAAGTTTCCTGCTAATAAATAAATCAATTGTGAACACTTGTGTTGTTTGAAGAAGCATGCATCTTTTTAAAACCTGCCTTGGATGTGGCAAGGTAGTAGGCCAGGGTCAAGAAGGCAAAGATGCAAACAAGCATGACGACCCATAGGACGCGACGCCATGCACCACACTGCTCGCAAAGACTTCCCGTCCATGTCTCACCTTCACGGCATTGAGAGCAAGGGGTATCCACAAGGCCGCCACTGCATGAACCAGGAGTACCGCCAGGGCAAAACAAAGCACTGTTGCATCGGAAGACCGCTGTGGGGTTGGTCTGGGTGGAGTAGTAGCCTGGCATCTGGAGCCCCAACGTGTGAAAAATGCGTGAAGCTTTCAAATTTAAATAAAGTTGAAGCTTTGAATTTGCTCCTCGCAGTCATCAAACTTGTACAATTTAACAAAACCATCTGTGGATATCTGTGGTACATACCAGCGCGTGTACGTGTGCGATATCATGAGTGGGCATATGTAGGTGTATGTATCATGCATCATGTACTGCTGAAACCTTCCGAAACCAAGAACCAGAAACCCTTCTGGATCTTTGGAGTGAACTTCTCCCCCAGGACGCTCTCACCACTCTGCAAGTCTTTGAGTTGAGACAGAGCTGGGCATGTCAGTCCTTCACCGCACTCCACACAGTCAAACCGCACTGTCTCATCCATGTCAATGTGCCCTGCCGGACAGCCACAATCCGTCTCTGCAACTGAACCAAAGCCCAGGGTCTCGGTAGTATCTGGGCAAGCCTTGCATGCCACTTGACCGGTCTCATTCTGATAAGAGCCAAAGTTGCAGCGCTTGCACTCGGTGCTTTTCACCTCATCCTGATACTCGCCTTCTTGGCATGGTTTGCAGCTGAGGGAGGCACCAGAGGGTTGGCTGGTCCCTTGGCCACAGGGCACGCAAACATGGGTGGATCCGCTCTTGTAGTTGTCTTCCAACTTCTGCGAGTAGGTCCCTGGGGGACACGCCTGGCACACAATCTTGTTGGTAGCATTCACCCGCACATCGGTGAACGTTTGGAGCACTGAGTCATAGAGTCCGAAGCCGGGAAAGCACTCACTCTCGTCAGGGATCCATTTCCTCCAGGTGGCCTCATTCGCCTTGATCCACCTACACGTGACCTCCTCCCATGTGTCCTGTGTGGTCTTCTGATCCAACAGCATGGCATCCATCTCGCTCAAGGGCAGGTCGAAGTCATCAGCGAAAGTCCGAACTATGGGAGCCAAGAGGATCAGGTCTTGACTTACCACTGTAGAAATTGTGGCTTGTGCTGCAGCACTGCTCATCAGCCCATCGCTGAACTCTCGACTGTTGTGATCCCCGAATTTCACCACCAGCGGGTTGAGCTCCAGGAAGGTCGGATCTGGGGACCACCAATAAAACGGCATGTCCACGGACAGTGGCAACTGCGAGTAATCTGTCCATGAGGCAGCGATTGCAATGCCAATGGGCATGTTGAGAATGGCGAACTTCTGCATGAACTGTTCCGTGTCCCAGCCTGTGCCACCCGTGATCCATGGGACACACTTAGTGGCATTGGCCCTACAACTGGGGGGCAACCACCAATAGCCATCATCACATCTCGCCGAGTAGACAGCCTGGTCGCAAGAAAACACGCGCAATAATGGATTCGTCAAGAGTCAAATCTAGCCAGGTACATCCAAGCAACAGTAATACCGCACAAGGCGGCGGCGAAAGTTTCACATATAGGAAACTATAGGAGAGGTTTGTTGCTGTGATGAATGGGTGGCAGAGCGAATCCACTGACGGATCCAAAGGTGGTGGAGGCTCTGAGTCTCTCTCTCTCTCTCTCTCTCTCTCTAACTCTTGCTGCAACCTTCTTTCTGTGTCTCTCTATCTCTCCCTCTGTCTGCCTATTTGTCTATCTATCTATCGATCTATCTATCTATCGATCTATCTATCTATCTATCTATATATCTATCTACCTGTAGTGTACTTGTAGCTTTGCTTGTGGTTATGTAGATGCAGTTATGTAGTTTTGTAGTTGGACTTGGACTTGCACTTGTAGTTGTAGTTGTAATTGCAGTTGTAGCTGTATTTGTTGCATGTGTAATTGTAGTTGTAGTTGTGGTTGTAGTGTAGTGTACTGCGGCGTAGTGTAGTGTAGCTGTAGCTGTAGTCTGGTGTAGTGTAGCGTAGTGTAGTTGTAGTTGTACTTGTAGGTGTAGCTGTAGCAGTAGCTGTAGGTGCGGTGTTGCGCGGTAGTGTGGTATGGTGTAATGTATTGTAGCTGTAGTTGTGGTGTAGTTGTACTGTAGTAGTGTAGTCTAGTTGTAGAGTAGTAGTAGTGTTGTAGCTGTGTGCAGCTGTTTGTATTTGTAGTTGTCGTTGTTGTTGCTGTTGTTCTAGCTGTAGTTTTTAGCGTAGTGTAGTCTAGTGTAGTGTAGCGTAGTGTAGTGTAGTGTACTGTAGTTGTAGTAGTGTGCTGTAGTTGTAGTCTGGTGTAGTGTGGTGCAATGGTAGTCCTGGTAGTCGCAATTGTAGGTGTAGGTGTAGGGGTTGTTGTTGGTGTAGTGTAGTGTATTGTACTGTAGTGTAGTGTCGTGCAGTGTATGGTAGCGTAGCGTGGCATAGGGTAGGGTAGGTTAGTGACAGTGCAGCAGTGTAATGTTGTGCTGTGTAGTGTAGTGTGCTGGAGTGCAGTGTGGTGTAGCGTGGTGTAGCTGTAGTTGTAGTGTGCTTGTAGTGTTGCAGTTGTAGTTTTACTTGTAGCTGTCGCTGTAGTTGTAGCGTAGTTGTAGTTGTGGTTGTAGTTGTAGTTGTGTGGTGTAGTTGTGTGGCGTAGTTGTGTGGCGTAGTTGTGTGATGCAGTTGCGTGGTGTAGTTGTAGGTGTCGTGTAGTGTGGTTTGGTGTAGTGTAGTTGTAGGTGTAGTGTATTGTAATATATTGTAATGTAGTTGCAGTTCTAGTTGGTAGTTGTAGTCTCGCCTGCCACCAAAAATGACACTTGAACTTGAACGTTTAAAATTGGTGCAAACGTGGTGTGTTTTTTGACTTCCAAATGTGCTTCGCGATACAATTGCGTGCACTTTTTCAACATCTCAAGTTCCAAAAGTGGTCCGAACGTGTTGTTTTTTATGCATGTTGACTTCCAAATGTGTTTCCGGCATGTTCCGGCCACAACGGCGTGCACTTTTTGAACATTTCAACTTGAAAAAGTTCTCCGGAGCTGAGGTGCGTTGGTTGTACGTTTTGACTTCGACATGTGTTTCTTCGTGCCACAGTCGCATGCACTTTTTGAAGACCGCAACCTCCGAAAGTGCTCCAGAGCTGAGGTGCCTTGCACCTTTTGACTTCGAATGTTGCTTCGCGCCACAATAGTGTGCATGGACGCGACGTGCCTTAGCATTTTGACATCCAAACGTGTTTCGCACCACAACGACGTGCACTTTTTCGACAGCTCAACTTCCAAAAGTGCTCCGAACATGTGATGTTTTTAATATGTTCACTTCGAAATGTGCTTCGTGCCACAATGGCGTGCAATCTTTCATCTCTGCACTGCACCTGCCACTTTAGCGAGCCTACTTTTCGACCCTCTGGAGCCACAAAACATTGGAAAGACACAGTGTTTCACGGCTTTTCTTTTCGCACACTTTGATCTTCTTTCTTCTGACTCGTTCTCTTCTCTGACTTCTTCTCTTTTGACTCTTTCTCTTCTCTGACTTCTTCTCTTCTGACTCTTTCTCTTCTCTGCCTCTTCCCACCTCTGCTGCTTCATCTTTCCATATTGTCGGAAGTTTGACTTCTAAACTTCCTTCGACAACTACACTGTCTACTCTACGTAGAAATTGTGTGAAATTGTAGGATGTTTGTAAGGAGCATGGAAGCCGAGATTCATTGCTGATGACAACACCATCGATGTCCCCAGTCCACTTCACGTAACGACGCAGCAATGGGTCACTGGTCATCTTCGAATCAGGGCTGTTACAAGGCACCAATTTGGAGGTGTCCACGGCGGAGATCGGGTCGAAAAAGTCCCAAGGCTGATTCCATGAAGCATTCCAACTGCGGAAGAACTGCAGCGCTTTGCCCTTTGTTGAGTATGCATGGGTCTGAATTGACCTTGGAAGGTACATGGTGGTGAATCCGGGATAGCCCATGCTGCCCAAATCCTGTGGCGCCATAGACGAATAGGTCGTCTGAATGTATTCCCAATCAGCCACATATGCTCCCATCCAAGACTCCAAGTGGACATGGTAGTAGCTCACACCTTGCATGCATCCACGATCCGAGATATTGTTGGGGGTGCGGCATCCAGTGACTCCATAATATCCCGCAACCGTTCCACTGCCCGGATTGTCGCCTTGGACTTGCAGTGGTGCCCAACAAAATGACCGTATTCCTCAATAGTAGAATCAATGACAATATATAAATGTTCCGATAGATTCCAACTAAATCCATTTAAATTTTTAAATGGTGGATTTCCATCGGTTGTTTCATACTTGGACACCCTAAGAAAGGAAAACAGCTTGAGCAGATCCTGGTCAAAGAGGTGTTGTAACCCAAGACCTCCTCCACCAGTGTTGCTGCAAGAACGTTGGCCGCAGCCGAGGCCGCCCAGTTGCACTGGAAAAAGCCCACCGGATAGCGCTCGCCATTGGGATTCATGAGGATCTTCCGTTGCGCTGGTGGGATGGCATCGTCCAAACATGATGCACCCACAACTGGCACCAAAAGGTGCAGAACGATCATAAGGCTGCCCATCTTGGGACGGTCGAGGCAGTCTTCCTACGAACTAGCCTAGCCTGGGCAGTTCTATGCGTGGCTAATCCTTCGATCCAAACTACCATGTCACTGTGTCGATGAAACTCTTTGATGATGTCACATGTCACATGTTGCACCAGTTTGAAACAAGCTCAACCCGCAACCGGTTGCATCATTGCCCTTTGTCAAGCATCTCAAGCCGCAAGCGCCAACCCCCACGCCTTGCTGGTGACTCTTGAAGTTTGTTTATATTAATACACCCTCACACCATTCGCCAAGGCCCATGCTTCAAAGACTTCCACGCTGATTGCGGTCGCCCAGGGTTGCCTGAGGAAACCCCAAAAAAAAGCCCGTGCCTGGTGATAACCGTACATGATTTTGATGGAAGTAAAAACATTTTGTTTGACCAGTGCAAAGCAAACAGGTTGTCACAAAAAGGTCACAAATGGGATGATTTATGGTAGCAAATGTGCTAAAACCTGCGTTTTGGCGCATTCAGTCACCCGGTTGTGTCTTTGTACATTCTTTTTTCCGTTTTGTTGGGATCTCTGAGACATGACTTGTCTCCATTGCCATTGTTTGACATATGTCACAAGCAATGGGTTTACTTTCTTCCGGACCAGCGTCTACATGATAAAGTTAAATAAAGTTAAGAGAGTAGCATCAAGTGCACCTTGGAAGTGACATGATTCAGTTCATATGAAAGTTAACACGCCCCACCCAACCCCACCCCACATATCCAAGCAAAGTGTGCGTGTCTATTAATGCAGTTCGCATGAACGTTGACACGCCCCACCCAACCGCGTCCCACCTCCCATCCCCCAAAAAAATCATATGAAAATAGGGTCCAGTTTTCACCCCGGTAGCTAAAGCATCGTGGGATTCGGGACGTGAGCAAAATCTCACATCTTTCTTCCAGAATCTTATATCACTTGAAGAGTGCCTGAAACACTTTGTACAAGAATTATCCTCATTAGCCAGTCAGCATTAAACCAAACCATCAACCACCAAGTGGAGTTGACATTTTTTGAAAGTGGGAAGTTCATTGAGATAGAATGCATGGTGCCGAGTGTAATGGGGTATGGGCGGTATGGAATATAACAAATTGCTGTATACCGTTCTGACCCTTCACTAATGAAAAACTAATCAAATGATATGACATGATAATGATATGATAGTCTGCCATGGCTGAGGATCTGACAAGTGCGGCCGACCATTGAAAAAGCTACACAGGTACCCGGGTGAATAGCAACATTGACGCGGAACACCACGTGTCATGCAACACATGGCATGAAGGGGATTTCTACGACGACGCATGTGAAGGTTCCTTCAATGATCATTCAATTGAGACTGGAGATCAAGGGCTGCCGGCACCCACTACGCCTGGTTTTTGCTGATTTGTCGGGTGATTCCATCTTTGCGGGTTTCTATGAAGTTTGTTTCCCTTGCTAGCTTCTCTTGCTAGAAACAGGCAGTACGCAGTGCTACCTGTGCAGCCAACAGTCAGGGCCAACACATCTGGCAACAGCTTGGCAACTGCATCATGAGACACATCCAGTGCTTGGCAGTTGATGGACCAGCGGCTCTTTGAAGCACTTGTCTGGCACTTTGTCGCTTGGGTGATACATTCCGTGCACTAAAGTGAGACCTGGAGCATGTACTTCCCAGCACGATTTGTGCGTTGCAGCCCCAAGGGTATGTCGGTATGTCCAAAAAAATGGGCCTGTGTTGTGTTCTTCCGTTTCAAGGTAAACGTGGAAACTCATGACTACTTATGAAATTTGGAAACCATCTGGAATCATCACCTTTTTCGATCCCGACCTTCATTCGGCCGGTGCCTCTTCCCCAGTCGCTGAGCCAGCTGCCGACCCCGAGCCCTCAGCGGAACCGGCCTCACCCTCCACACCCTCCACAGGGTCTGGGAGAGACGGCTTCTGACAGCAGTAGACATAATACCTCGGGATCTGCCAACTGCAAACACAAAGCAGTTTGGAAGGGAAGACCTGATTTCCATACCAACACAATCCGCTTAGTTCGTGTTTGTTCACAAGGCTTTCTAGTGAAATGACCCCAGCATCCCTTCATGCAGTCCAAAGGTGGTGGCAAGGTGCACGTGATCTTCTGCTGATGCTACAGCCGAAACTTGCATGGCCGAGGGATCCGGTCCACCTTTAGGTGCCTGTCACATGTCGACAATGGTTGAACCACCGCCCAAAACCCAAACATCAAGAATTGGAGTCGTAGTCCATCTCAAGATCGAACAGTTTTGGACTCTAGACCAACGAATCTCACACATGCAGCAACTCCACGAGTTTCGCAGTTTTTTGACGAAGCCTTGAAAACAACCTCTAGCAATCAGCTGAAATATAAGTTTTAAATCACCAGCCCAGTCTTTTGTAGACTTGCTGATCCCGTTTCTATGTACAGCGCATGACTCACAGCTTCAAATGGCGTGTTTGGGTCCGATGGTTCCATCAAATCAAATCCAAACAAGCTCCTCATCCTGGGCTTGGGATGCCGGGGCATTTCCGTTTGAGTGAGTGTTATTGATTTCGGACAAGAAAAAACTGAGATACAGCAGCATGTGCAACACTTCCAAAACCATATTTGTTACCCATCTGAATGAACCAACGACAACTTTACCCTAGCTGACCTATTTGAGTCATGAACGCCATCACATGAACTACTTTAAAACCCATTCCATCCCTGACCATATCCAAACGGCATTTTACCAAAGAATGGGAAACTAATATGTTTGTTTCTGAAAATGTGCATCCCCAGTCCCTAATGTCCGATCAATGATATGTAATCTATTTTCCGGATCAAAGTTGCCATTCGAGGGCCCCCATTTTCCAAGCGACTGCATCCTCCATGGCCCACATCAACACATGCGCAGCTGTCCAGCTGAATTGAGGAACTCCTTCTGCAAATCCTATCGAATTGCGGGCGACTCAATGTTAGAAGACAGGTACAGCAGAGATCAGCAGAGATCAGCAGAGCTTGTCACAGCTTGTGTCTTTCACAGCTTGTGTCGCAGGCACGTTTTTCGCTTGTCCTGTGTCTGGATCATAGTGCTCAGTGAAGGGCGTCCTGTATTCAACCACTGGTACCACTGGTACCCTCGAGTTCATGGATGAATTTGGTCAAAAAGTTGGATGAATTGAGCATGCTCAATAGGTGGCACATACCACCAGAATTTGGAACATGCCCATCATATACTGTCATATACCCATCAGAATCTGGACCATACACTGAACACATCGTCTTAATCCCTCTTCAAGAGATAGAAAATACACATCAAACTTCGCACATATCTCAGGCGCGAACGTGTCGTTGGTTGCGAAACCCTTCCCCATGAAGATCTTCTGTTTGAGCTCGGAGGCCAGCTGGGAAAAGGGTGCCTCGTAGCCGCGAGAGGCAGTGGGTTGGATTTCACCAAACAGGTTGTTAATATCAATCCTCTCCATAGTCGCTACCGCTATAGCCCATCACCCCAACAATGAACAACTTGGCTTCCGCTACTGGAGAACCCCAAACTGATGGAACATGGTCATGGGATGAAGCTGAGGATCCAGCCGATGCCACCCCTGCTGCTTTGGCCGGGCTCTCATAACCTGCAAAGCTGATGGTCAGTGGGTCGATGAAGAAAGGAAAATCCACATGAAACTTTCTCAAACTTCCCCCTACACCGATTCTAGGATGCTTCTTCTATGTGGTACAAGACCGACATACTTGACTCACAAATACTTTCCATGAATTGGGAAACCGAAGGCAATCGTGTATATATATATATACATACATACATACATACATATATATATATACATACATCTACATACATATACATATATACATATATACATATATACATACATACATACATACATACATACATACATACATACATACATACATACATACATTAATACATTACATTACATTACATCACATCACATCACATCACATCACATCACATTACATTACATTACATACATACATATATACATATATATATATATATTCCACTCAAAATCCACATGAAACTTTCTCAAACTTCCCCCTACACCGATTCTAGGATGCTTCTTCTATGTGGTACAAGACCGACATACTTGACTCACAAATACTTTCCATGAATTGGGAAACCGAAGGCAATCGTGTATATATATACATACATACATACATATATATATACATACATATACATATATACATACATATACATATATACATACATACATACATACATACATACATACATACATACATACATACATACATACATACATACATACATACATACATACATACATACATACATACATTACAATACATACATACATACATACATTAATACATTAATACATTAATACATTACATTACATCACATCACATCACATCACATCACATCACATTACATTACATTACATACATACATATATACATATATATATATATATATATTCCACTCAAAATCCACATGAAACTTTCTCAAACTTCCCCCTACACCGATTCTAGGATGCTTCTTCTATGTGGTACAAGACCGACATACTTGACTCACAAATACTTTCCATGAATTGGGAAACCGAAGGCAATCGTGTATATATATATACATACATATACATATATACATATATACATATATATATATTCCACTCAAAATCCTAGTCCAACAGATCAACAGATGTCAACAGTTTGACAGTTTCAACCCATGAGATCCCAATTTTTTTCAGCGCCAAGTAACGTCGAAGCCCTGTATAGGCGAACCAGGTCTGATCTATCCAGGTGGGACCTTTCCAGTAGCCATGGGCGTTGAAGAACTTATTATCCTTGCTGACCTTAGTGGAGAAGTGGAGAATACCATGGAAAATCTAGGGATATCACCGGGATATCATGCTGATATCATTGATATCATGCTGAAAATGGAACCTTCAGTTGGATGAAATGCCTCAGCTTTCACAAGGAATCCATCTTAAAGTGGATGATTCATGTAGATCCACAAGTGGCAGTTGGCTTCAAATAAGCCGCCGTCGGAAGGCTGAAGTTCAGAAAGAATTGTGTGGGGTCGCGGAGAGTTTCCACCACTTTCAGCGCCTGCCAGAAATTCAACTTCAGCGGTTGAAACATCAAACATCATCAAATCATCAAGGCCTGCGAGAGTGTGGCAACACCATTGAAGAGAGCTGCGAATCCTTCACAGCCCTTAATGGGTAGGACCTCACTGATCCAAAATACGTACATCAAATGAAAACATTGCAGGCTTTCAAGTGAGCAGCACATGCACATTGCTGCCAATGCTTCAGGCTGCGACCGAGCCATTGAAATAAACATCGGAAAAAAACGCCGCCCTGCAAGCATCAACTCTGGAAATGCATCCCCATCTTCTCAAACTACTAGTTCCAACTGATCCATTGCCCTAAATCAATCAAACCTGGAGCCAAACCTCAAACGAAAATCATCATACATCCTAGCCCTACAAAATGCAATGCAGCAAGCTCTGTCAAACTTGTATGGGTACGGATAGTCCCAACAGTCAACCTCCCAAAAAGGATCGTCAAAAATCATGGAGTGATGATACTTAAAACTAAAATCCATCTGGTTGGTGGTCCTAACGGTCCTAACGCCCGGAAAACTATCCGCCAATTGAAATTATGACCCCGCATATGAAACTCTTAAAAACACTTTATGTAGTTTCATGGTGTCCCGTGAATATCCTACGAATTTCCCGTGCATCTCAGGAGTCCTCCTTGAATAGCCAATGAAATCCCCCAGAAATCCCCCAGAAATCCCCTTGTCATCAGCTCCGCACCTTTCCACGAAGAAGATTCGCAGCCTCGGCAGCAGCTGGTCCGCGGCGTCCGTCCAACGCTGCGCTTCACGGGCCAGGCTTAGGGCGGTGGCCATCTTGGACAAGAACCTTGGGCCATTGGGCACTGGTGAATGGATGAGGAGTCATAGTTAATCAATAGATATCAATAGTTAATTCTGGATAATCAATGTTTTTTTTCGGTTAATCATGAATTATTCATAGTTAATGACAATATTTTTTCGATATGGGGATATCATGGCAGCAATTTTTGGGATCATCCTAAATAGGATGAACACATGGAAAGTCATGGAGATCACCGTGCTAACTCTGATTGAAAATAAGATATAATATAAGCTAGACCACCCACCAGAAAAGGCATGAAAATATGTGTATATCATTGTTTATTTCCTGTTTGCCACGGGATATAAAACATTATAAAACCAATCTAGGAAAAAAAATGAGGGTTTACAGTATGAAACAGGATTGCATGACAACAGAAATGGGGAGACTGAGATTTTGAAGGTCAAACGGTCAAGCCACTTGGGGTTGTCCACATCATGTAAGATATGTAAGGGGTTGCTCCAAACATTGGCTGCTTTAATAGGGAACATGATGATGAGCCACTGGGATTCGGCGATCCCGCAAGTTCTTGACAACAACTGCTGGGTCATGGGTCATGACAGGGCGGGCGAGTGCCCAGCCAGTCAACTTCAAAATGGCTGGTTTTTTCCATTGAAATGCCTCACGCTGGAACGTTTGGGATCCCATTTCGAATAGCGCCAAGACGAATCATTCTGTGGGACGGCACAAAATCAGGGCAAGGCACCTTTTCTCCTGGTAGAGGTAGGAGTTGAGATCAATGCTCCAGAAATCCAGCGTCCTCACCTGGGGACTCCTACTGGGATCAGGGGCCCAAGGGAGAAACTTCTCAAAGTGGTTTCAATTCCGTTCGATGAGAAAGATGTTCATTTAGAAGGGACTCATAACAATGATCAAGATTGATCAGGGACCAGTTCCGAGGTGGGTGTCGCAGAAGTCCAGCCGTTCCCCGTTCCGTGTTTCTGGGGCCCGATGGCAAAGCAAAAAACCAAATCTTGGATACCAAGCGACATGAGTGGATGCACATTGGAAACAGACTTCGCAAATTCCGACTGAAATCGCACCCCATCATCCATTCCACTCTCCATGCCTTCAGTCCACGAGCAAAGACCAGTTCCGGTAACATCCCGATGTTCGTACCAGAAATGATGAAAATCGCGTGCTACAGCATACATCTCGCGCAGAAATTCCAAGTCTTGGGTTTTCTGGTAAACTTCCCACACAGCCCATGCCAGTAAAGGTGGTTTTCCGCTGCAACCTCCTCCCTGACCACAACGATCCTGGCTGTGCTTCCAAAATGAGCCCGCCGTTTGGATGGATCCATTCAGGCAGAATAAAATCCAAAAAAAAGTTCAAGACCAAGAAACATTTTAAAAAAAAACGGTTTGACTTCTTGCAGCAAAGGGTCGACCTTGTCAGGGATATGGCCACCGCTGTCCTGGGCCGAAACCAGCAAGCGCAGTTGATCTTTAGCCAATTGAGGTGCAAAATGGACCATTCCAACTGCCTGTTTGTAGGTGTCCCAGGACCAGAAGCCACCTTCATATCCCACATAGGATGGAAGCACTCCAGGCGGCAAGCCGGGGACTGCGCGCCAGTTGCCCATTAAGGTCACCACAGCCTTCACGGCGGCCCAATCCATTTGGGGATCCCTGACCCGTTGTAAAACAGTGCGCAGGTAGCCCTCCCAGCGAGCCAAAGCCTGGCTGAAGCTCTGGTTGGCCTCAAGAGCGTGGGGAAGTGCAGGAAGGGTCTGCAGGTGGCTGATCAGCGCAAAAGCCACCAGGGATTTTCCAGCAGCAAGCTGGACCTTCTCGGAAGTTGCCTGAAAAAAAGTGGAATTTTGGACATCGACCTTCCACTGCAGAGGCTGCAAATGTCCATCCAAAAGCTGAGACTTCAGGAAAATCAGGCGTCCACCACGGTACGAGACCTCCGGGAAGCATGGGAAGCTTCCCTTGGGCAAGGCAAAACCGACCCCAGTCTCAGAGGCAGAGATGTTGACCCCTGAGCCTGTGATGTTGAACCAGCTTCCAGTTGGCTGCTGGCCCAAGTTCTCCAGACTCAGTCGGATCAGAGACACATTGGCAGACTCAAAAACCAATTGAGCAGCAAAGCGAAGTTGTCCAGTAGGACCAGTAGGACCTGCCACTCGAATGGAGCCAGGATAGAAGGTGTACTCTGTTGTCCAACTTTTCCAGCTTTTCCAACTCATCTCGCTATGGTCATTATGAGCTTGGTATCGTATCAACGGCACCTCCTCATGTTGCAACGCCCAGTCAGGTGCCGGACCTCGGATGGCGCCGGCGTCCAAGCGATATCCAAAGGTGGAGCCCTGGTCGAACAGCCACGCCTCGCTACCCAGCAGGTTGGGCCACTCAGCCGAGGCCAACGCAACGAGACCATGGCAGAAGGCAAGTTGTAGAGATGGCAACATGGCCAACATGGCCAACATGGCCAACATGGGAAAGGCACTGAGGCACCGAGGTCAAAGATCATATCTCATCATTCTGAAGGTGGAATCTCCATCAAGGTCCGTTCTTAGATGACTTGTGTTGGTCTTTGGAGATGGTCCAATCCTAAATCTACTCTTTCTGTATGGCTATAGTTTGTCTGAGATGTTGGTGAAGCTCCGCCTCTTTCTACACCAATGTCCTGCTTGTTCATGGTTGATTGAGACATCAGAACCAAAGTTTCGGTGAAGAAACCTCCACCTGCCACTTGCTGATCTCGGACTCGTTCTTGCAATAGAAAGCACACCAATTGTGGGAGTACTCGAGCTTGATCTCAATTTTGATCCATTGCCCCCAAGATACATTGAATCACCTATTGAAACTCCAGTCACGTTGACTCGAAAAGTAGAGGAACTAAAGTGACAAAGAAGTACTGTTTCCGCAAATGTCTGTTTTCCTCTGACTGCTTGTGACGAGGTCTTGTGTTTACCTAGGTCGAGCTCTAGAGCCAGAACAGTTACATGGACAACAATGAACCTGAGGTATGATAGATCATGTACCTTTCAAGTCGGGTGTTCTCCTGTAAGTTGGTGAGATGCTGTAACTGGCTCGAGCTCAAACTTCGGTATCTGTGTTTGCCAGAGGACGTGTCCCTCTGGTCTTCATGAATTCAGCGGGGTGTAGTCTTCGTACGACCCCTCTCATGGCATTAATTAATTGCGATCGATCGATGGAACCTTTTGTCATTCCATCTGCAACCATATCGCGTGTGTCCACCCATCCTAAGATGGTGATGATCCTTGCAATTGTCAGCTGCTTTATCCATGAGATGTGAGAGAGTAATGACTTTTCCGTTGGGTATTTAAAGTTTTCATTTTCTACCGCACTGAAGACGGACCTGGCATCTATCCAGACATAGAGTTCGATAAGGTAACCACCGTTTTCTCTTAGATTTATACTGGATTGGGGATTAAGGGGTCCGAAACAAATTTCATGAAGGGTAGTTATAATTATAAAACTTTGATCAACGGACGCAGTGAGCGCCAACAGCTCAGCGGCGAATGTGCTACGCACCACGAGCTATGAGATTGAGAGACGGCCTCAATCAAATGGCATCTCTTCACACCCCTTGCATCAGTGCCCATTCTCAGATATACGGCACCCCTCAAAGCGTATCCCTTATCATTTTCTCTGGAGAACGCTGAATCAGAATATAGCTCAACAACCCTGCTACAAGTCATTGAGCTATACTCCAATTTCTGGGGACGACGCTGGAGCTCACGGGTGAGTGCGTTTAGTCTTTTGACATGTGTAACAGTGGGGTTCTGGGTTACACGTTGGAGGGAAATTATGTAGACTAATACCCACGCCTGTGTCAGGGCGGAATAGGCAACAGCTCCTAACAGGCTCCAATACAGCGCTCTGAGGTGCTCGGGACATAGAGCATCCTTCTGGAGATTGGCATAGTGTTTTGGGTTTATGGGTTTTAATGCGCTAAGATATTCTGACTGATCAAGAGTGATAGTTCCATCTGGGAGTCTTTTATGACAAATGCCACAGTTCGTAAATTCACTTTCTTGATACGTCAGTTTTCCAAAATGTCCTTCCAGAGTTTTAACCAAAGAGTCTATTTCTGATTTCAGACCTGCCATTTTGATATCATCTACATGGACGGTTATGGCTAAGACTAGGGTTCCTTTCTTATGTAACATTAACAGTTGGGGGTCATATAAAGATGCTCGGAACACTAATTCCTTGAGGATGTTGATGAGCCTCAAGTTGAATGCTCTGGGAGCGTCTCTGCAGCCAGTACCAGGCTTCAAACATTTGAGAGCTTCCGATCGTTCATCAAAGTCTTCATATCCTGGAATACGTCTGAGATGCTTGGCTGTTCCCGCCGGGACCGTAAAGCTTATGTGTTTTTCGGGCTCTCCGGTCAACTTATTCATCTCGGAAAAGGTCAGCCCTTGAAGAAATGCTTTACTTATGTCCACGGCGACAAAACTCCAGTCCTTGTGGCAGGCTGCTTCACTAGCTAGAATCTTTTGGGAAGTTCTTTGTGCAGTGGCCGAGAAGTTCACTTCATCTTCGGTTTGCGGTTCCTTGAACCCTCGCAAGGCCAATCGCATCCTGATGATGCGCTTCCCGTCTACGTATTTCCACTTAGAGACTAGCTTAGCGTCAATCAGAACCTTACATTTCTTTTTGGGGATTCTTTCAAAGCAGCCATACTTATGCCAGGTTTCGTACTCTTTAACTGTTGCTTCGTCAACTTCTTTACGATGGTCAATTAGTTCCTTAGCAGTATGCAGGTCTGTGTCTCTTTCGATGACTTCTTTCTTGGCTTCTGCATTAAGGAATACTTTCATCATGTTGGGCTTTGACACATCGAGACTGTCTTGGAAGCATCCAGTGATACTTTCTGAGATCAACACTTCAAGAAATGGTTCATCATTTTCATCAAATTCAAAAGTGTGATCATATTCGTCGAAATCTGGACTGACTGTTGGTGGTATTGAATCCCAATCATTGTGGTTATCTGGATTTGAAAAGTAACACCAATCATCTTTAATCTCCACACCTGATACTTCATCTACCGGTTCGTTGAGAACTACCCAGCACAGCTCCTTGAGATCACTTTGGATTTCTTTGGGAGTCTTTGGGAGCACCTTCGAAGTGTTGTATATACAATGCTTCAACCTCTGGAGAGTCAATGCTAACTTGAGATTCCTCGGCGATCGTACTGAGCCGCCCATCACTACGACCCACCTCGATCTCTCGATCGAGATGCGCCATAGCCGACGGACGGTCCAGCACTTTCTCCTCAAAATCATCAAGTGTCATTCCGACATCTCTGTCTAGCATAAAACACTGCATTGTTGCGACGAAGGACTCCTGTGGACCAAAGATTTTGCTGATGTTTTGTTTTGGATGATCGGCAACATGTATGAGCATTGCATCTGGGTTGTTCATGTTCCAATTGAAAATCACGTTGCGGTATCTGTCTTCCAGATCGTGCAGCTGTTTGATTTTATGTCCAATTCTTACAGTGCAGATATCATCCATTTGGAGGGAATTGGTTATGATGAACTCTAGTGCTTTTGAAATTTTGGGCCATCGTTTGGTGGTTCTTGTCAGTCTGTCATTTACATACCCAAAAACTTCAACACGGCCATCAGGGAGTTCATTCAAGAATTGATGGATGTATTCCATGGCATTCAAACAGATATCCGCATTGGTGTGTCCATAAAGAGAAACTGTTGCATAGTATTGTGCTGGGCGTACATCCTGGAGGCGATATGGTCTGGTCTGTCCATTTATTTTAAGAGCTACAATGCCATCTGCGGCTACACACTCTACGACTTCGTATGGACCGGTCCAGCCACTCATGTCTTTGCTCGGGGGCGTTCGGTATAACTCTACCAAGTCTCCTTTTGCAAAACGGTTTTCTCCCGACAAGGCAGTTTTGGACCCCAAAGCTCTTTTAATACGAGATGCACTCGTGGCTGAAACCATAGACTGCAATGCAAGTTCGCGGATGCGAGCATCAACTCTCTCTTCCAAGCCGGCGTTGTCAGTAATTGGCGGAAGGCAAGCTGGCTGTCTTCCCATCACTACCTGGTAGGGTGTAACTCCTCCTACATGTGTTAGTGCGTTACCCATAAAGACGCTATTGGCAAGTAATGATGGGAAGTTGATGTCAATACCTTCTCTTATGGCTTGGGATTCCATCACCTGCATCGCATGTCTTAAGATCGCTCCTCTCCTTTCGATGTACCGAGCGTGTTGGTCCTTACCTCTTACCTTTAAGACTACACCCATACGCTTCAATCTTGCTTCAGCACTGGATGAAGTCAAACCAGCCTCACTGTCGGTGACAAGCTGTTGAGGTGGACCAAAGATGGATACCCATGCTGTGTGAAAATTGGTGATTAATTGATCTTCTGTTTTGTTAGGAGTTTCCACAGCAACATGCCATCTGGTCGCTCTGCAAATGAAATGATGTACAACAAATTCTCGATAGAACAACAAATCGGTTTCTACTACTTCGTTGAAATTCATGGCCAAAGAGACGGAGGGTTGAGTGTCTTTGGCTTTTGGTGCCCACTTGCGGCACTCGCGGCAAGTTGAAATGATGTCAGGAATGTAGCTTATGACTTCTTCAGGTATGCCTGCATTTCTTAAAACGCTGGTCATGTTGGTGGGGCCTGCATGCCACCATCTTAAATGCAGCTTCCTGAGTGTTCGAATAATAGTTGGTTCATGGCTACTTCTCAAGTCTTTTAGACTATGGGTGACATCAAATCTGGACCAGTCAGATGGATGTTCACTACCTGCGGCTGCATCCCGGAACTTTCGATAAGGGCCTCGGAGTCTGCTCTCGGCGGATTCGCCGTCATCTGGGTTATAGGGGACAATCCTGTCTTCTACTGGAGGTGCTGCCCCTGCGGCTGAACTACTAGCAGCTCCTTCACCGGCTCCTAAATCGGTTCCATCAGGCAGTTGGGCCTGAGAGTCTTGAACCGGAAGTTCATCAGCTCGCTTGGCTGGTTCTCTGGGATGATGGCCTTTTCGATGAATGCCCTTACGGTGAGCTATGGTCATGTGTTTGCACTCGCCTTGGGCATAAGTATGTGAACTGTCACCAGCAGGTTTCATTTTCTTACATCCAGGACATGTCCATATTACGGGGGCATCTAAAGGATATTTACAGGTGTCAGGATCACGAGTGTGCCTTGGATCATTCCTATTTAGATGTCCTTTACATCCTGGGCAAACTGCTGGTCTCTTATCTGGGTCATCAGCGGGTTCACTGCTTGGCTCGGATGCATCAGTGCTCGTGCCGATAGTTGGATAGGCATACTCTCTAAAGTTGACCAGTTCTCGAAGGTTGGTAATTCCGTCTACTATAGATGTTGCTAGTTTCCATGTCCATAGTTTACAGTGGCTAGCTTTCCCTCCTTCGAGTAGTTCATGTTCATGACTTCCGTCA